GTATGCATCGGGTCCTGCCTGGCACCGGCACTGAGCGAAATGTATATTTCCTTCGTAGATATTGCGATCGCCGGAGAACTGCGGAGTATCGTGCCCCGGTGTCAGGTGCTGCGCTATGGGGATGACTACCTTGTAATTCACCCCACAGGGATTCCGGTCCACCCAATTTAGCCTTGTTTTCTCAGCGCGGCAGGCAGCCTCAACTTAAGAGGGAGGATCCCACGCAGTGCTTAGACATAAAGTTGAATACGCCAGCGATGGATCTTTGCTTGGCATTTAGGCAACGTTCGGAGAAACCGGTTCTTCCATTTTCTAGCTCCCATTCCAAATCGTTTAAGACAGGGGTGGTCACATCGTTTATTCCCCCCGCGCGCAATAGGTCGTGCAGTCACCACTCAACCTCGAGTATACAAACGCTAGATAACCGCCTTCTCAAGGCCGGTCACCCGAATTATCTTCTCAGTCCTGCCACGCAGAGGCTCATCGTAAATCGAACCCCCCGCCCCTCGCGTGCTGCTCTGGGTGGTGGGACGGCCTGCATTCCCTATATGCATAACGTGGCGCACCGCGTCAAGTCTCTCGCGTCCCGCTACTGAACCAAGGCCATTTTCAAATGCAGGTTCAGACTGAGCTCCATGTGCAAACTGATTAACGGCGTCACTTCCACTTCAGCGTGTACAAAAACAAACAAACACGGCTCTCAATTCATTCGATGCACAAGGGAAAAGGTCTACTCGATTCCTTTGAAAGGCTGGATGCTTGGGCGAGTTGGTGATCCATATTCTACGGCGACAACGCAGAGAAACAATCACACACCACGTATTCAGAAAGGCAAGCACACGTGCTGAACTAACAATCCTTGTTGAGGGAATTGTTGCTTCTTGGCGTTCCGAGATATCGATCAGTCTCAACAAACCCCAACACTTTTATTTTGAACTACACACACTACACACACGTTCCAAACAGACGAGCCACTTTCTCGTTCTCCGATCCGTAGCGTTCCAGCTTTCGTTCTGTCCGTCTCCACTTTCCCAGCTGTTGATCTTCGCGGCTGCATCCGGCCGCTGCGGGTACGAAGTTTACATCTCGACCCCCGCGCGCGATCGTAAATCGTCTCCGCCGAGACAAGCCGTGGTGCGAGGTTCAGCTCGCTCCTCGCGTGCATCCTCCCCGCAGAGGGAATCCGATGCCGTCCTCGCGAAAGTTCCAACACACTCCCCACCGAATGGGCGCGAGCACATTCTAGAGTTCCGTCATTTCTAAGGGGTAGATTAGTTGCACTGGCCTTCGCAATACTGTACCGCGATGTACGCGAATCTCGCATGAACCAACCCTTGCATCGCGTCCATAAAATACCTTCTCAACCTTTCCAAGCTTCCAAAGCAGTCGTGGAAGTGGCTCTTTCAAAAGGACCAACTGGCCCACTCGGGGAGGAGGGGACTGCTTTTGGTGACTAGCATAAGCAGACCTCAGTTCTCGGAGGTATTCCGCCCCCCACGTCCCCCAAAACAAATTTAGGATCCGTTTACGCTTTCGCCACAGACCGCGAAGTGTCTCCGGTGTCGAAGCGAGCGGCTCTCCCCCGGCCGCCGGCAGCGACGTCAGCCGTCTACCGATTAGAAAGCTCGCAGGCGTGAGAGGGTCGCCCTCTCCCACCTCGTTGTATACAAAGGTCAATGGTCTCGAATTCACCACGGCTTCAATTTCGGTGAGAACCGTGGCCAATTCATCTGCGCCCAGGCATTTCTTTCCGATCACCTTCCTCAATGACACCTTTACTGAGCGCACGAGCCTCTCATAAAACCTCCCCACCATGGCGCTCGTTCGACAATAAATCGCCACTCTATGCCAGCATTGGCAAAATGCTGAATCACATCAGGGTGTCGGAGTGTCTTCCACAGTTCGCTTAGTTCTTTTGAGGCCCGTTTAAATGTCAAAGCGTTATCCGAATAAATGACGCGGCATACCCCTCTCCGCGACACAAATCTGCGAAAGGCATACAGAAAGCTCTTTGTCGACATGTCTGTCACTAACTCTAAATGTACCGCTCGGGTAACCGCACATGTAAACAACAAGACGTAACATTTGCTGGTGAGGTCGTTCGCCTTAACATACAGGGGTCCCGCAAAGTCTGTGCCCACTACTTCAAACGGGTCCGCTCGCGTTGTACGATCCGCCGGCAAGGGTCCCGTTGGAGCACTTGCAGGAGTCGCGTTGAATCGCTGGCAGGTCACACACGCACGCACTACTTTCTTTACCAGCTGTCTTCCGCGGAGGATCCAGTACTTCTCGCGCAGCTGCACGAGAGTGTCCCTGGCTCCCGCGTGCAGTACCTGGCGATGTGCGTCGATAGTCAGCAACGTTGAGTATCGATGCTCCTTAGGCAGTACAATGGGGTGGCGTTCTTCTTGCGTCAGGTTCGATGACTGGAGTCGACCGCTGATCCTCAGTAATCCCTCTTCATCGATGAAAGTGCGAAAGTCACGCAAGAGCGACCCAGGTGGGGGCGACATTCTCTTTGCTGCACAATCTATATCGGAGGCAAACGCTGATCTTTGTGCTCTCGTTATCCAGTGTGTTTGCGCTACGTGGATCTCCTCGGCGGTCAGTGGTCCCATCCTTTTTTCTGACGATCTGAGGTTATAGATGAACCGTAAAATCCAGGCCGTTGTTCTGTGGAGTTTCAAGGCCGAGCTGAACCTTGAGATGTCCAGCAACTCTTCCGGTACAGTTGCAGTTACCTCGAAGAGCTCTGCTCTTGGAGTCCTCTCCTCGAGCCCGTCGTGGGAAAGCTCCTCGTCACTTTCCCCAGGCCACTCTGTCGCGGGCAGTAGCAACCAAGTTGGTCCGTTCCACCAGAGCGGTGCAGACAGCAGTCGATCCGCGGACAGCCCTCGTGTCATCAGGTCGGCAGGATTTTCTTTCCCCGGGCAGTGGTGCCACATTGCCTTCTCGTTGTTTGCTTGAATTTCTTGTACTCTATTTTTCACGAATGTCTTCCACCTGGATGGCTCTCCCCTAATCCAATGCAGAGCGATCATAGAATCCGTCCAGAAGTGGACTTCATCCACTTTGATTTCGAGGTGTGTCCTTACGTACTTAAACAGCCTCGATCCGATCAAGCATGCCATGAGCTCTAATCTAGCAAGGCAGATTTCCTTCAGGGGCGACACGCGGCACTTAGCCAGTAAGAGTGTCGCGGTAGTTTCTCCGGTGTCATCCGTCGAGCAGATGAAGATCATCGATCCGTATGCGGAGGTGCTGGCATCCGAGAATACGTGCAACGTTCGATGTACAACGTTGCCCTTCAGCTCGCTGTCGTAGAATCTGGGCACGTTAATTTGCTGAAGTGTGGTGAGCTCGTCGCACCAGTTGTTCCAGCCACTCATCAGTTCTTCCGGCAGTGTATCGTCCCAGCGCAGGTTCAGCTTCCAGATTTCCTGAAACAAGATCTTGGCTCGCACCACGAAGGGGGAAAGGAAACCAAGGGGGTCATACAGTCGTGCTGTCGTCTGGAGCACGAAACGCTTGGTGTTTCTTCGTTGGCGGGCGAATTCAATCACGTGTTCTGCCGAAAAGGAAAGGCTGTCTTCATTCGGCTTCCACGTCAGACCGAGTACCTTCAACACACCCGTCTGTTGTCCCAATGGTCTCTCATCGGGACCCTTGTCTTCAAGCATTTTCGACAGGGCTGCGCTATTGGAGCCCCACTTATGGAGCTTCATCCCCGCTGCTCCAAATATCTCGATCGCCTCGTTGCAGAATGTCCGGGCGTCCTCTTCACTTTCCGCGCCCGTCAAGAGGTCGTCAACGTAGACCGATCTACCCAGTCGCTCTGCTGTCTTGGGGAATACGCTCTCCATTTCTCTGAAATGATGTCGTAGGGTCGCGGCCAACAGAAAGGGGCTGGACGTGGCTCCGAAAATGACCCTCGTCATACGCCAGACTTCCACTTCCGGAGTTGTTTGGTTCGGTTGAGGAATTTCTTTGTACCAGAGGAACCGCAGAGCATTGCGATCCTCCGGGTTTACTTCAATTTGAAGGAAGGCCTTTTCGACGTCCGCAACCAGTGCCACCGGGTGTTGCCTGAAGTTGAGAAGCAGGCTAACAAGGTCTGGGTTCAGGTTCGGACCGCTCTCCAGGTTGTCGTTTAGTGACTTGCAGTTCGGTCCGTGCGAAGACGCGTCGAAAACGATTCTCATCTTCGTCGTACTGCTGCCTTCTCGCAGAACAGCCTGGTGGGGCATGTAGTACACCCGTTCATTCGAGTTATCGTCTCTCTCGACCCTCTCAGCCATTCCGTTCTCGACGTAAAGCCGGACTGCCTGATCATATCTCTGCATGAGCTCAGGATTCTTGCTTAGCCCCTTTCGTTGGCTTTCGAGTCTCTTCCAAGCCATCTCTCGGTTGCAATCAAGCTTTACATCAAGTTTCCAAGGGAGGCTCACTTCGTATCTTCGATCATATTTGGTGATGCTTCTCTCAAAGCGCTGCATGATGTCGCTATCGGAGTGATCCTGGACCTCTGCGTCCACAACTCCCATACTCTCAAGCTCCCAAAATCCTCTCAGGACAGCCGTGTTCTCCTGGTCGCTCACGGCAGCTCTGAGGACGATCACTTGGGAACAGTTGACAACAGCTGCAGTCGCCTGGGAACGTCCATGTACTGCCCAACCAAAGGCGGTCTCCACTGCCGTCAGGTTCTCGCTCAATCGACGGACTCTTCCCGTAACGCATCCCCAGTAGTGCTCCGATCCCAAGAGGATTCCTACTCCGTTGCACTCGAGTCCGTTCAGGTCGTCACCAACCGTTAGTCCGAGCTCCTCCATATTAACCAGGATGTCTTCATCCGGGCCTGGAAGTTCTTGTTCGCAGATAGAACGCGTCTCGAGGGTGTCTATCTCGTATGTCTGGCCGGTTAGACGATTACTCAAAACTACTTGAACTCTACGGTACGTTTGTTCGCTAGTCTTGCCACCGAACACTCCGACGGTAAAAACCTACGTTCCGAGAAGCTTGCAACCAAGACCCCTCGACAGCTCCTCTGTAATGAAGGAGCGCTGACTACCGCTGTCGAAGAGAATGCGGGCCAACTTTCTTCTGTTCTTGCTTTCCACCCACGCGGTAACGGTTTGCAGAAGGACAGCCGGTTTGTTGCCCTTCTCGCTCACATGCAGGTTGAGAGGCGTCTTGTCTTTCTTCCGCGTTTCATCCGATCCGCTGGCGGCTCGTCCCGGCAAGTAATCTGGATCACACATAGTGGATACATGCCTTCCTCCACACCTGTCACAACGGAGCGTGCCGCGACACATTCTTGCCGTGTGGTTCGGCTTTGTGCACCGGAAGCACCTGCGATCGGCTTGCAGCCTGCGCTTCTTTTCCTTGAGTTCGATCTTCGCGTTACAGTCTGGTGTGCTGTGCGCCTTTGATTCGCAAAGAAAGCATTCCATGCTGTCCATCCTGCCATGCAAGGCCGTAGCGGTAGCGTTCCGAGTCTTGGCGTTGTTTAGGCGCCTCTTCGGATGTTCATGCATGGGAAAACAATGTGCAGGCTTACCGCCGGCGTCTTCGGGTTGTTCCTTGGATGTTTTCTCCCGGCTCTCCACCTCGATCTTGAGAAAATTCAGCAGCGCGCGCACCTCCTTAACGGGTCCTTGTTCCGTTGCTGAGTCGGAGCCGATGTCGGTTGCTGATGTTCCCCCGGCGGTGGCGTTTTCGGCGTTCCCCGAAGACATCTTGCGGTTGAACTCGAGCCTCATGTCGTCCGGAAGCGCACGAAGCAGAACCGGGTAGAGCATGGCACAGTATGACTGATCCGTCACACCCAACGCCCGAAGGCCCCGGATGTGAGCCTGGACGCTGTCGTAGACCCGCCGCAGAGCTCTGACGCTGCGCGATGACGGCACCTGATTGATGTCCATGAGCCCTGTCATGTGGTCCTGTATCAGCTCCGCCTGGTTCCCGAACCGCTGCTGCAGGAGCTCGATGGCGTGGGCGTAGCATTCAGCGGTTGGGTGCAGTACTGCGATGGCGGCTGCTCCATCACCAGTCAGGGCTGACCTCAAGTACTTGAATTTTTCTGAGGACGATAGTTCCGGATTTCCATGGATGGCGGTCTGAAATTGCTCCCAGAAGGGCTGCCAATTTCTTCGGTGTCCGTTAAACTTGATGAGCTCTAATTTGGGAAGCTTGATTTTTGATGTCACCTTTCTTGCTTCCCGCTCTTCGTTCGGTTTCCCGCTTGTTCGTTGGCTGTCCTCCGGACTTTTCACTTTCCTTTTGAGCTTTGCTAGGCACGTGACGATCTTGTCAGAATAATCGATCACTTGCGTGAATTCTGCTTCTGCTTCTTTTTCGGAAATCAACGACTCGATCGCGGCATCTACGTGGTTGAGTTGGTCCCGAGCGAGGCTTAGACGTTCGATCAATATATCGAGATCATCGACGGTCGGCGTAGCTGATTGTAATAAATCCTGTGCCTCGCTGAGGAGCCTCGTTACTTGCGTTCGATGCGTTTTTCGTTTTTTCTTGAGGACGTCCATTGCCGTTCAGTCCTCGCTTGCAGTGCTGCTTGCTTGTGTCGGTCTATCGTAGATGTTGCCGTTGATTCCCAGGTTCCGCTCGTTCAGTCGCTACGTTCTCTTCTCTGTCTGCTGGCGATTCGATCACACCTTGCTCGTCGGCTTCATTTGCAGTGCAGTAGTCTCTGTCCCGGGTTTCGGCACCAATTATTTTGTTGAGGGAATTGTTGCTTCTTGGCGTTCCGAGATATCGATCAGTCTCAACAAACCCCAACACTTTTATTTTGAACTACACACACTACACACACGTTCCAAACAGACGAGCCACTTTCTCGTTCTCCGATCCGTAGCGTTCCAGCTTTCGTTCTGTCCGTCTCCACTTTCCCAGCTGTTGATCTTCGCGGCTGCATCCGGCCGCTGCGGGTACGAAGTTTACATCTCGACCCCCGCGCGCGATCGTAAATCGTCTCCGCCGAGACAAGCCGTGGTGCGAGGTTCAGCTCGCTCCTCGCGTGCATCCTCCCCGCAGAGGGAATCCGATGCCGTCCTCGCGAAAGTTCCAACAATCCTTGTGTAAGTTCAAGAGTTGTAAGTTCAGCGCGTGTGCTTGTCTTTCTGAGTTTCTGGTGTGTGATTGTTTCTCTGCGCTGACACCACAGAATTCGATTCCTTTGACATCTAAAGCGGAATATATCGGCCAAACAGGCCGATACCTAAACGATCGCCTCCGCGAACACAACATCGAATGCCCGGCACAGCCAGAGGGGTCATTTCATTTTATTATAGTTCACGGCAGGGATTCCCAGGCGTTCACCCCACTGTTTAACGAGTCTAAAGTTGTCGGGGGACACCGGGAGCACTACGGGAGAGAGATAGTTGAGGCTTATAGGATGACGACGGCCATCAGAAATATAGCAACCCCTTCCCTCACGTTGACTATGCCAGAACTTGCGCTTCTGAGGGCAGCGTTTCCCCGGAATCCACTTGCACCACCTTGAACAACAAGTTCGTCCTTCTATCGGCCTTGGGTCGTCAAATTGTTTCCGCATGCGAAAATGCTATTTTTCCTTCTCCTGGGGTCATCCTCTTGCACCCTTCTCCCCCTTTCCTTCTTCTCCCTCTCGCTGCCTTCCCCTTTACCCACCGACGTTTTTTTTTGGTGCAGAGATCACTTGCGTCAAATACTGTATATGCCGCTGTAAACTGAGAGCTTGTACATGTCTGTTTTCGTCCTTCTGTTCGTTTGTGCTTTCTTACTCTTACATCTGTTCGAGAAACCGGCTCTTAAGAGCCGGCTCCTTGAAACGCCTCTTTGTTGGTGGCTATAGAGACGGTGTCCGGAAGATTTACGGGTAGCCCTTCGCTTGTTCCAGACTTATCGTTCGGGAATAAACTCCATATGGAGTTTCGCGAAAAGGTTTAAAACAACATGTGTGAACCACCTGCGTTGCTTGCTTAACGCTTGCTTAACTTCCTTCTCACAATTGTCTGTAAAACACGCTAAGGGTGCCCTAGTGCAAAAGAAAGCTTCATAACCGCCCCTCCATCAAGCTCCAATTAAAAAAAAATCTAACTAGGGGCTTGGGAGGCCGTGTTATATTTTGTTGTTCAGGCACGCTCTTGTACAACGAGCTCACAAACGCCAGCTGATTTAGAGACGGGAACTTTATGGCATCCTTGTTTCCTTGTTCAGGAAAAGAAAACGAGAAGGCCAATGCGCCAGAGGCCCTTCGGAGTGTTTCTTCTGCTTTCTGCCTAAACTTTCATTAAAAAAGCGGAAAAAAAAACTAATATTTTTAAACTTTCAGGGGCCAGCTGGGGCCCCCTGACAGCCTGGGGCCCAGGGCTGCAGCCCCCTTAGCCCGTGTCTTAAAAGGGGCCTGCAAGGACTTTTTTACTGGCTTTTAATTTGCACCGAACCTGAGCGCACTGAACGTAGTAACTTAGTGAAACTTTTCTTTTCTAGAAATTCGCTTTATTTTAAAAGTTATAGGCAAATTAGAATTACAAAAACAAGCAAAAAGTAACCTCCCTCATGACGTCCTTGGCTGCTTGAGTGGCCGTGAACTAGAGGAGGGGTATGTGAGCTCACCGAGCGCTCACGGCTGCCGCACTCCGTGTCGACGGCGCGAGAGGGCGCCACTAAATCATGTTCTGGATAGACTGTATGCAGCGGGCAGCCAGTGCGCTTTCATTGCATTTGCTGCGCGATTAAACACTAATTCGGCATGACACTGCATTGGCCACAAACGACAGCAAACACGGGGTAAAGATCAGAGGCCAGACTCACGAAGAGCTTCTTAGTTTACGACAACTTAGCTAAGAAGTTCGTAAGTTAAGAACATCGTAAGAAGAGGACAAATCGGTATTCACGAACGCGTTCTTAAGTGAGAGGAGGAAAGCGACGTTGTCGTGCGGAAAAACTAAAACTTACCGATGCTGTTGCTATGGCGATGGCGTCTTCGGCAGCACGAACAACCAATCGGAGAGCTCGGCATTTGTTCGGAGCCGTTCGGAGCCGTTCGGAGCACGTGGATTTTTCCTAACAAACACAGGCGGCCTTTCTGCCACCGCTGGTCTGGGGTTCGTATCCGTGCAGTGATATGTCGACGCTAACACGATTTAAACTCGCCCGAATGCCGAGGCCGGGATGCGTAACCACCCCCATTGACTGCTACGAACTCGATCGCTACCAAGTCAACACAACTGTCATCGTTGGTAAAAGACGGCCCGCAGTCGTTTGCAAAGCGACGTAGATGGGAACAAATCGCCGCGGCGTTTTTTGCGGTCTCGGAGATGCAGGAGCGAGCCGACGTTAAAAAATATACGTTTGAACTACGACAGTGTAAGCAAGAGCCACGTAAATGCCTGTTCACACTGCGGAGCGGACGCGCGCGTTTGATCAAAGTGCTGGATTTGCGCTGTTGGACCGCGAATTGATAAGCGCTTCGGGACTGATCCTTTACAATTGGAACTCGATGCTGACGTGACACCCTTCGAAGAAAGGTTGGACCGGCATTGCGACCCACGAACTGTTACAGCGATCGACAGTGAGGTGCAGTCGTATCAGAATAAAATGGAATACTAATAACAAAGTGTACATACCATGTTGCGAAGGTAATCCATACGGCGTTTATTTGAGCTTGATATCACACAAAACAGAGATAAAATCGATGAGAGCCCCTTTTCGACGACAGCGTTCGTCACCGTTGCCTCGGAAAACAAGGAGATGACAAGAGGAAGAGATTGACCTCTTAATCTAGAATTGAGGTCAGCGATCAAACTATAATACGGGAAGGGTTCACAAGGGTCGCGCGGGCATATTCCACTCAGCACGCCAGCCGGTCGTGGGCAGACGGTCTTCGCCAAGGACCGTCAGATCATCGCTGCGCCGAGTCGGAGTGCCTGCTAGGCCTATCTGCCGATCGGTCGGAGTCCGTACTCGTGGCCCTATGAGTTTTTCCCGGGTGTCTGTGGATCCAGCGTTCTTGTTCGTTCGTCGTGGTCTGTTTCAAGTACTTTTTACTTGTTTCTTGCTGCTTGAAGTCGGGACGCGTGAGAAGCGCACGTAGAAAAATAAACATCCGTTGGTTGTCGCGACCAACTGAGCGACGCTGTCGGCCATGCTGATTTGATCGTAAGAAGTGCGTAAGACAGCTTCGGAGCTGTCGTGGGATTTCGTCGTAACCTGCGCAAAACTTACGAAAATTTCGTTTCGTGAATACGGATTTGTTCTTAAGTTTTTCTAACGCACATTTTTGGCGTAAGATCGTTTCGCGAATCTGGCCTCAGTTCAAAATGGGAGCCACTTCGCGCTGCCATAGTGCGAAACGGCCAAATCGCCAGACAAACCTTCTCGCCGAAGGCCTTGGGAACGCTCGCAGCCGGTCGGATCCCCCTGTCCATACGACCGCAGCGCCGCCGCGTACATCCGAGACCTTTCCGTGTCGGCGCCTGATACCACTACTCCTTTCTACCATTTCGTCGTTTACCCTGAGACTGGGTTTTTTTTTGAAGAGCAGAAGTAACAGAAAAAACAGACAGGTCTCAATTCTGTTACTTCTGCTCTTCGAAAAACCGCCCAGTCTCAGGGTAAACGACGAAATGGTTGATTTCCACCAGCTAGCCTGTACTTTGACTCTTTACTCCTTTCTAGTATGCGCCGCCTTTACCGCCGCTTGGTGGCGGCTATGTCCACGGGTCATTTCTTGTTTCCGTATTTTATAAACTGCATTCGTTTCTTTTCTGATCTAAAAAACTGAAGAAAAAGTACTTTTATAAACAATTGAAACGGTTCGCGCCACTTATATTTTGTATTTCGACCAAAAAGAAGATTTTAGCGGCTCTGACCAGTAGTAAGCACAGGACCAAATACGTCACATTTTGCGCGCTTTCGGTACCGCGGGTCGCCGTCGTCGGTGGAGGAGGTTTCCGCGTCGTCCGGTTAAAATATAACGCACTGATATTTAGTTACTCTCTCCGTGCCCGCTGGCTTGCTCGAACCTCAAAAGACGTGGAAACCGCAAAAAAGGTAGACGCTTAAATATGATTGCAGGGCCCCTTTAATCCAGCCCTGCCCCTTCCCTCACGTTGCCTAAGCCAGAACTCGCGTTTCTGAGGCCGGCGTGTCCCCGGACTTCACTTGTATCACCTTGAACAACAAGTTCGCGCTTCTACCGGCCATTGGTCGTCAAATTGTTTCCGTATGCGAAAATGCTATCTTCCTTTCTTCTCCGTTGTCCTCCCTCTCGCTCCCTCCCTTTCCCCCACCGACATTTGCTAGT